TCAGCAATGCACTGTGCAATGGGGCAGAGGGGTGAAATGTCACAGTCATCATTCACCTGTGTGCTTTTGGCTCAACGTTTGTGATGTTAAGTTAGTGTTTTGAGTAAAGAACTGTCAGGTAGTGGGGGTGAGTCCTGCAGTTGCAAACCTTCACCATGGATCCGATGGCTTGGTTTAAAAAAAATTCCACTTTTCCCAGAGAGCAGGATCAGCGCATCCTCGGTGTAACAACAGCCTTCTTGTCAAGTGGAACTAGTGATGCAGTTGCAGAACACTGGCTTTAAAGGGCAAACTCGGTTTAATATCTGTCCCCCCCACACCACTGTGATTATGTGCACGCATCATTGGGCTTCATGGACGTCGAAAGCGGGGCAAAGGAAGGTTTGGGGGGTACATCCGGTTTTAGCGAGGGTGTGCGTTTCAACCCGGATCTTGTCAGTGAGTTGTACGCGGTGAGACTAGGCTGCCTAGATACAGTCACAGCCTGTGCCTGAGCAGCATGAACTTGTATAGAGTCCACTCTCTGTGGGGCAGGCGGAGGGTTGTCTCCCCTGCCAAAGCTCTGATTTCGAGAGAGGTGGGAGGAATTAGAGGAGTTAGTATTGTTTCTTTTGAGGGTTGATGTCTGATGATTTCTCGTGAGTGAGTTCGTAGGGTAGTTTCTCTTGTAGTCCACATTGTAAGCAGAGGAATGCATTTCTAATCGTTTGCCCAGACCACTCTGAGCTAGAGAGGAGCCAGGAGGACCCAGCGAGGCTTCCCTCTGGGGTACTTTTGGTGGCATGTTATCCAGATTTTCCACCAGGTTAACCCCATGGTTGGGACTTTTGCTGCTGAGATGCTCCTTTATGGTTTTGTACTCAAGTGTCGCATTCTGGTCCTCCATAGCCATATGCGCCATATCACTCATTTTTGGCTGATCAACATACTCATGCTGATAGCCTTGCTGAGAGATGGGCAAGACCACAACGCTTGGGATATGGCTGGGAGAAGCCCTGAGAGGCAGGTCAGTTGGAATCACAGGAGATGCCATTGGGGGGATATCTTTTGTGCAGGCATTGATAAGGTTCTGGTTTCTTTCCCATTCCCTGCTGCCACGGCTGGGCTTCCTTTTCTGTTGCAGGGTTGGGGTAGACTCAGGGGTTGGCAGAGCAGCCAAGTCCAGATGGTGCTGGTCAGCCTTGATTAGCATTTTGGCAGTGCTGCCCGGGGTAGCAAGTTTGCCATTGTGCATCAAAGGTGTGAGAATAGCTTCTGGTTTTGGCTCCTTGGACTGTGTGTCCCCAAAGAGACCGCTTAGCTTGGTAACACTACTCATGGAGCCACGGCGGGAGTGGGACAGCTCCTTCTCCTTCCTCTGGACAACAGCCACGTCTCTGCGGCGATGGTCACAGATGCAGTAAACTATGATTCCCGAGAAGACAGCCCCCATGACAAAAGCAAGAATGACTGCAATAGCCAGGAGGGTGACCGGCACCAGCTGATCGTGGCCTTTGAGATAGCTCTCACGAATCACTCCTGCAACAAACATCATACAGTCATAAGCAAAATAACTAACAGGAAAAGCTTCTTATTGTATCTAGTCCATTCAAAGGCATTAACTGGGGATTTTATTTGTGCTCAGCTTTTCATTAACTATCCCAAATGCACATCCATACTGTACCTGTTGGCTGACCTTGCTTTGAGCAAAGTTGCGCTTACGCTGTTGAATTCAGAGTTAGGCTTGAACAATTAAGAGTTGAGGGGAGGGGGAGGGAAGAGGTGTGTTCAGGGTATAAATTCATTCTTTACAAAGAGAAGCCCATTTGCTGAATTTGGTCTATATCTGAGATCAGCTTTCAGAACAAGTTCTGAAATTCCATGGTATTTAGACCAGGAAATGAAATCCGGGGCCTATTGAAGTTAATTGCAAAACTCCCATTGACTTGAGCAGGGCTGAGATTTCCCCCAGGGTTTTTAGATAAGGTTGTTTCTCAGGCTGAGAAATAGCACATATTTCTTCACCCACTCGTCAAAACAATCTCTCCCCCACTTTATGTTATTTCATATTTTATTTCTGTAAATTACTGACACTGAAAAAGCTGAGGAGTCAGAAGCTTTATGTACGTTACATAAATCATTCTCAAATCCTTTCAAGCTTTCTGCCGTGCTATTTATTTGTTGTCTTTGTCACAAGGCTTGGAAGCCAGTGTCATATGTTTGGACTGCAGCTGGGATGTCATAGAGACAGAGTGTGAGGCCAACACTGAAATACATTGAGACAGAATAAGTTGAAAAATACCCTCTAGATTTTAAGAGTGTCATTGCTAATTTTTTTTAAATCTCTCTTGTTCTGAACAGGTAAATATGCTGTATACTCTGCTGTCCTGGTAAAAAGTGAACACGTACACACACACACACGACCATTTTATGGCATTACACTGTACTTAGAGATGTCAGGTCTTATTTTTGCTGCTAAAGTTTGCTGTCATTGTTGGCTTCTTCAGCAGAGTTAATATCCTTAGCCTAATAAAAATGATGTGACTGAATCAGTCAACAATCTTACAGAACATTAACCAAGATATCTA